TGTTGTACTGGAAATGTTTATGGGATTTCAGACGCAGTTGTACTCTCAGTGCATAAGTACATTTAGGTTCAGTTTCTTCAGCAGCAGTGAGATGATGTGGTCACTTGAGCGGATTCATGGCCTCCATTTTCAGTATTTTGTGTCTTTGCTCACAAAGGTGGTGTCACAGTTAGATACAGACAGTACTTGCAGTGGCATTTTAAATAAATTCGCAGTGGAGTTAATTTTTATGTAAATCAAATTGGAACAGCTCGAAAAGCAATTGTTCCTTTGAACATTTTTTCACGTTGTTGCAGTTGGGCAGTAGAGGGAGCCCCTTTCCAGCGCACGTGTTTCCCTCTGCGCCAGCTCCTCTGCCTGCAGCTCCCGTATCCCGATGATGCGCTTGGTCCCGTTGTTTGTACTGACAGTGGACTTGGTTTAATGAAATACCTCTGTTTATATTGGATTTACATCATATTAGCAGCAGGAGCTTGAATACCTTGGGGGGGTTGTGGAGCATCATGAGAAGCAGAGGGAAACTGGAAACGGTGAGAGAGAAAGGCGTTTAGCCGGCAGGTTTGCCCCAGCCTTGTCTGTGCTGCAGGAAGGGTGCCAGCAGCTTAGGGAAGACTTGTCTGCTTAAAGTATTCCTTCACACATTCTGAGTATGGAACTAGTTTCCTCCATCTATTTTCTTGGGTAAAACCAGGGGAGGTCGCTGAGGTGAAGCTTTAGCTTCTTGTTGGGAAGTCTTGTAGACAGCTGAACCAAAGGCTGAATGGGATGCTGTTGCTGCTGACTGAGATGTACGGGGTGTTCCAGTGTTTGAAGGGTGGCTACAAAGAAGATGGAGACTCCCTTTTTACGTGGAGTCACATGGAAATGATGAGAGGTAATGGGTACAAGTTGCTCATGGGGAGATTCTGACTGGACACAAGAGGAAAGTTTTTCACAATGAGAACAATCAGCCATTGGAATGATCTCCCCAGGGAAGCAGTGGATTCCCCAGCATTGGACACTTGTAAGATTTGGCAGGGCAGGGTGCCGGGCCATCTTGTCTAGACCGTGCTTTTGCCAAGAAGCATTGGACCAGATGGTCCTTCAGGTCCCTTCCAACCGGGTGTTCTATGGTTCTGTGATCTTTTTTACCAAGCCATGATATGCTCTTTTTGCAGGTGGATCACACAATAATAATGTACCTCCTCGGGCCAGATGGTGACTTCGTGGACTATTATGGCCAGAATAAGAGGAGCACTGAGATTTCTGCTTCTATTACTGCACACATGAGAAAATACAGGTCCTAAACCACAAGGTCTTCAAAGATTGATATGGACATCACCCGTAGGTTTGGCTGTAATTGGGCATTGGAGTTAAAGCAGAAGCATACAAGTGTAATGTTCTGTCACCACATGCCTCCTTTCTTCCAAATAAGAAAGGCAATCATACTTCTGTAAAATACCATTATCAAAAGTCTCTATGGAGCCTTCTCCATGGACACTGCAGCAAGATCTAGGCTACAGAGTGAAGTTTGGGACTTCTCTGAAACGTTGGGAGCAAAAAATGGAAAACGCTTTTCATTTGGGAGGAACGGGTGTATCGCTGGTAAAACTAGTTGGTATCTCTTGGCAAGACATCAGCGAAGGGCGGTCCCTGCAGGAGGGTGATTACTGGATGAAAAGCCGTGTGGGCCATGGCATTCCCAGAGGAGCCTTGCCCTCTTTTTTTTCTGCACTGTTTTGCCTTCTGGGAGAGGCAGTTACAACATTAAAAGCAGGAGAGTCTTCAGAGTACTTCTTCATAAGGTTAAGGAGGTGAAGAGCAGTGGAAGCATCAGCAGCTTCCACGCATGAGACCAGCCCTGTAATGTGCCTGATCTTTTTCTTCATTTGAATGCAGAACTGAAATGAAATGGTTTTTTCTTGGTTATTTTTTGAGGTGGGCGCTCTTAACTTATAAGGAAATGAATAATGGATTGCAAATAGATTTTTCTTTTGGTCTAAGTGATTTTATGCTTAGTTGGCCTGATTGTACTATCCTGAATAGTGAAGTGGGGAGGATGAAGGGGGTCTGTGTCCATGCATAGGGCTGTCGATCACAAATTTTATTCAGTGCAGCATTTGAAAATAAAGATTACTTTGTATAAGCTTTTTTTTTTTTACCCTGGTTGGGTTTGACTAGAATATCATCAGAACTTTGTATGCTGGTCAAGCTTCGTATCCTTGCTCTGTTTTATTCCTTTTTAGAAAGCAGTGTTTACCTACAGTAGTGCAAACCATAAGCTGACTGGGCTTTCTTAAGGTAGCTGAACCCCACAGAATGGCCCATAGGAGACAAACCAGAAAAGTTTGCGGTGCAAGTCCCAGAGCGTTTCAAACTGAACACAAGTGTTCCTGCTGGTAGCGCTGGCGTTCTTCTCAGTGTGGGGCTTGGAAAAGAATATTCCTGTCTGAGGGAAGGTGCGATGTCTGTGGTAAATTTCCGTCTTTCCAAAATCATGAAAACAGTAAACTTGAGCTGTTCCAGAGCAGTTATAAAACATGATAAAGTAGTGTAGGCCCACATCAGCTGCCCTGTGCTCTGGTGACCTGCTGAGGGTATCGGGAAGGTTACTGTGATAGCGTATGTCTAAAAGACTGCCCTCTTCTGATAAAGCTCTGTCAAGGGAGGAAGATCCTGAAGTTCCAAGATGCACTTTTTATTTTTTTTTTCTCCTCTCAAATAGTTTAAAGAAGTTTTTTTTTTCTGTTTTAAAGAATCAGAAGAATTTCTCTACATCAGTGAACAGTGGGAGTTTTAAAAAGTGTCTTAGTAGAATTAAACTCAACAGCTGAAAAGGAACTAAGGGTTTTTTTTTTCCCCTCCTTGTGCTGGCTGGCTTGATTGCGGTAGATAATAGAAGTGGCTTCCGAAGGGAATTCCAAATTTCACGCTTTGTCTTCTATCAATTAAAGGCTGTGTCAAATCCAAGGTGTTATCAGTAACATTAGTGTCTGTGGTGGGTGGCACCCTGGCAATAATGATTTTATTTTCATGGCGTGGTTGTACGTGTCGGCTTTGATTCTAAAGAGGCTTTCCTCGCCTTTTATTTTTCTGCACAATCCTGGAGGTAGTTTATTTTCAAAACTTTCTTTACAGAACTGACTTTTGGCATCTACTAGCTCTGCGTCTCTTTGTCCAGGTGGCTGTGCACCAGTTTGTTTTGAAACAGGACAGGCCATGGCTTGAGCCTGCTGGTGGTCGTCCTGTGGGAAGCTGGACTGGAGACCTCTGGAGTTCCCTTCCAACCAGCACTTCTGTCTTTCTATGAAATTTGTCTTGCTGAGATTGTACTCACTCTGCTCTGAGCCTCCCTGCTCCAGATGAGTGTGTGTTTCCTTTTTGATTGTGACATTTGCTGGGGAAAATCACCTTCTTTTTGAACTTCTGGTGCAGTTGTTTTGAGGATGATTTGTACAATACAGTGCATTAGGATATAGAAGGTGGTAAACTATGTGTATCTGCTATTATGATAAAAGCAATATTGAAATACCACCTCCTTGTGGGTCTGTCCTCCTCAAACCAGGACAGGGTCTCGGTGGCCCAATGCTCTGGCCATTCAGTAGTGCACACGTGCATGTAAAGTCACAAAGACGTCGACCTGCTGGAGCGGGTCCAGAGGAGGCCACGAAGATGCTCAGGGGGCTGGAGCACCTCCCCTATGAGGACAGGCTGAGAGAGCTGGGGTTGTTCAGCCTGGAGAAGAGAAGGCTCCAGGGGGACCTTACAGTGGCCTTCCAGTACCTGAAGGGAGGCCTACAGGAAAGGTGGGGAGGGACTCTGGATCAGGGGGTGTGGTGACAGGAAGAGGGGTGATGTTTCAAACTGAAAGAGGGGAGATTTAGTTTTGATATTAGGAAGAAGTTCTTTACGGCAGTAACAAGGTAACTAGCAGGTACTGCCAGCAGAGACAGTGATTGGAAGTGCAGACCTGTGCTGGTTTTTTTAATGCCCTCTCATGAGCTGCTATTCCCCAAGTTCTTGCTTACCTTACTTGGGGAAATATTTCTTTTCCTTTTGGAACAAGTCAGAAATAATCTGAGTATTTTCCTCGAGGGTGACAGGGAGGGAATTGTCCTGCCTGTCTCACTGCTTCTGTATTGAAAAGTCCATTCCTGTCTGTTCTGTATTTCTTGAAAATACTGATGGAGAAGACCTGGTGGGAATGTGACTAAGAAATGGAGCAGCTGATCCAGGAGGATACTTTGCCTCTTTAAAGCCTATTTGTGCCTCCCTTGATTATCCTCCACTTTAGTTACTCTGTGGAGAAAAGAGTTTTAACACTGTAATTTGAATCTTTAGGGACTGAAAAGATTTAAAATATACATTTTTCACTGTATCTGTTTTCCAAAAAGAATGGGAAAAACAATATTTCAAAGCTAAAAATGCAGCAGGTTGTTTGTGGGGCTAAGGGAGAGAGAGGGTGTATTTATTTAAAACCTGTTTCATTTAACTGACCACTAAGTAGAGGAGTGCTTCACATTTGATGTATGTGGTAGCGTCTGCCAGGAACAGGGCTTGTCCTGGGGACCCGTCTCTTCTGGCGGTGTGAGGGGTCTGTCAGCAGTAGTCACCAAAGTGCCAGGATTGCGTATCATGCCACGCAGGGTTTCTCCCTGCCGTGCCAGTGTGCAGCCTCCCGGGAGTGAGACCTTCCTTTGCTTGGCGGCTCTGTTGCCCCTCCATTTTTCACAGGGGAGCAGGTGTGAAAAGTGTGGCAGTTTCTCTGAGTCTGCCCCTAAACCACTGTGCTGGTGGTGTTTTGCATGTGACGGAAGCATGGAACAGGCGTGTGCATGCTCTGCAGCTGGGGGTGGTGTAAAGGCAGTGGGTTTAACTGATGTAGAGGAGGCGTTCATGCAAAAATGTCATGAAAAGGCCTAGGCAGATGTGCTGCTTGGCACAGTGATCTGCAGTAGCTTCTGGTCAGTGGGAAAGAATTAGTGAAAAATTGACTCCTCTTTCTGAAGGATTGCTAGAGAATTGTAAATTGCTGTTAAACACCCACTGCTGACCTCTCGTATCTGTGCAACGAACACTGGCTCTGTAATGAAATCGGTCCTGCCGCAGGATGCTCCCTTTTTTCCATTGTGTGACTCCAGGTTACATCTCGTGCGGTTTTACATACGTTGGGTGCGTGATCTCTGGATGAAACTGTTTTTCATGGGTGACACCTTCAGGTCTGTGTTTCTTTAATGACCGCTTGTGAGTTCTTTGTGGCCGTGGAGTCTCCAGGGCCAAGTGTCTGCCCCATCTCTTGTCATCCTGTGACTGTACTCTGCACAGCATCCTTTGTCTGCACGTCTCAAGCCCTCTGCTGTTGTATCAGGCTTGTATTCCTTTATATTGCATCAGGATGTTAGTGACAAATACCTTTTTCTGCACAAAGCCCAATCTGTATAAAACGAGGTTTGTATGAAGGCATATCAAGGATAAGAGGGTCATTAGG